AGCAAGAGCTGGAATTGAAGTATTCTTACTACATACTTCAGACACTAATTCTGATCTAGGCCTGTGGTGTAAAAACCCATTAGTGATGTAAATCTTTCCATCTGGTTTCATTTGAAAAATATTAAATGTCATCTGTGATCACTCTGCAATGCAAACCTAGGTAAGCATTACCTTCATCAATGAAAAGATTCACATCTGATCCAAACACTAATACAGTTACATGCACCTTACAGCTGTTGTTTTCTTTCCTGCATTCAGCTATATCTTTATTTTGAAACAACTGACAGACCCCTCATCCTTGTGTCTAATCAACTTCCCAAACTGAAAGGAGGATAATAAAATAGAAGCCCTTGTGCTCTACAGAAGGTGTAAATTTTCAAGGCTGTTGTAGCTGATAGATCAGTCAACACAGAGCCCAAACAATCCTCATTGTTATGTGACAAAAGACAGAATTCCTATGAGAGGGGTGTTCAGCAAACAGTAAGAGGCCCTATGTATAGACTGTGGTTGCTCATGTTGCGGGCAATGTATCCAAACCACACCTGGGCCTCAGAAGAAAAATACAGAGTTGCTAGTATGGCCCTTAACCCACTTTTCCTTATTCAAAGGACAGCATCTACAGTTTACAAAGTTTCTGTGAAATAAAACTCTTACCTGCAAACATAGCCTCTCTAACACATTTGGGGCATGAGAAAAAAATTGTTTTCTATGTCCCGCAGATACCAAACAATGGAACTGGCAACAGCAATGGAAAGACAGGATCTGAAGTATACCAGAATCACTAAGTGACCTTGATCTATTCCATATTGCCACTTTCGGAATCTAAACTGTCCAATTAAATTAAAGAGTCTAACTATTTAAAAGAAAGGTCTTAAAAGTAAGCGGCCCAAGAAAGAAAAGCTGCTGAAAGACATTTCATGTTTTTAAGCATCACCTAACACTTTAAGAACACCAGTTTGGATTATGCAGCTTTCCCCAACCAAGACTTTGTCTGAACACTATGTAGAATGTGAGGTCAAGACTGTTTAGAAACCAAGCAGAAACTCTTATGTCACTTCAAGGCCTATTCACACATTCATCTAAAATCTGAAATTTAGTTGAATTTACTCAAAAACTTATCACATTTTAGGTTTCATGTGCATGAATGCAGAAGCAAAATAGTTTGTATCCACTAAAAACTGCGCAAAGAACAACAAGAACCCACCCAAACTTGTTATAGTTAAAAGAAACCAATCCCCAACAAAGCAACAAGGATTCTAGCACATTAGGAGTGTGCACTCTCTTGGTATTGCAGAACCCACGTTCCTGTTTAACTCCTCAAAAAACAGACCAAAAAAGGGAAAAAAAAATCACTGAAGCTGAATCAGTTCATCACTCAAGAAGAGTTATCTTCTATTTCAGAATACGCTCTTCAATACCTGCCCAAGAAATATTTTTATCTACAATTAAGATAGTACATAGTATCTTGGGATATAATTTAGGGATAAGCTATCATAATAAAAATGCTAAAAATACAAAATTAAACAGGTTATCAGTTTTTTATTATAAATCTCTTAGGCCAATACACCACCTTTCTTTTGTGAAGAGACAAATTCAAATTTCTACATCACTTTCTCAAGCAGTTTTAAAAAATTCTACACAAATCAGACCAATACATTGAACAGAACATGTAAGAACTTTATCTAGTGCAGAGGATGCCCCTGAAGAAGTGTATTGTGAAAGTCAACTCAGGAGCTTAAAATCTGCATTGTAATTGCAGCACGTAAGAAAAACCGAAGCATTTTTATTGTTTCCCCACAAGTTCTCCAAGCAAGAACTGTAAGACTGGTCACATGCCATGCTTTTCACAAGATGCATCATGGTGTAACTTCTTAAATTAAGCATAGTCTACTGAACAGAGGCCAACCAACACAAGTCTCTGAATACACTAAAATCCTTCCAGACACAATGTAGCAAGAATGAAGCTGGAAAAGGTTGCCCACAGTACCCTAGATTATGTAGCCACAAAAACCTACAAATCTACATTGATGCAGCTGTGTTCACATAGTATTTTTAAGAGAGTTAACTAAATGCAAGAACAACACTTGTAAGTAAAAGGTGCCTCTGACTAAAGATGTATTCTTTTTTTAGAGGTTCGACTTGTTGTTTAGTCATATTGATTAAAAAAAAACAAAAACACCCAAAACACACTACTCCTAACATCATAATTATATCAACACAAAAATAAAAGAGGCACCAGGCTGAAGAGCCTCTTCAAGCTATCAAAGACACAGAGGCCAGTGATACTTTTTTGTTACAATGTAAAGCTGCAAAAACAGACCAGAGCACCACAGAAGATACTCTTTTAGTACCAATTTATTACCAAATGGCACTAGCCATAAACCAAGGATCACACTCTAAGTAGGGAAGGCACTACTCAGGTTCTGGGTATCTGCCCATAAAAGTTGCAGGCCATCGTCCTGGTTGGCTCCATTCTGAGAAGGTTCTGAATGATTCAATAACCTGATGATTCTGGAAGGTGCTTCAGATGTTCAGTACTTCTTGGGATCTGCTTCTTAATAGAAAAAATACTTCTCCATCAATTCAGGCCATTGTCCTGGTTGGCTCCACTCTGAGAATGTTCTGAATGCTTTGAATAACCTGATGATACTGGAAGGTGCTTCAGATGTTCAGAACTTCTTGGGATCTGCTTCTTAATAGAAAAAATACTTCTCCATCAATGTAGGTCCTATCCAGCTAAAATCAGGAAAAGAACCCTCCTATGCAAGTTTGGGAAGAGCTGGCTGAGGGCAGACTCCTTGTGGAGGTGCACGGACCCCTGAGTTCATGCAGCAACAAACCTGGCCTCGTCTGTCCTCACCTCTTTCCACTACACTCTCTCAGCCCCATTGATAACCAAAACTCTGTCTAACACTCTGTGTCTCAGCCCTATTGCAAGAGGAAAAAACTCATCCTTTGCTCCTTGCCTCACACTGCAAGCACAGTGTGCCTGCAGGCTGCAACACAGGTGCTCAACATGAGGAACCAGCAAAGGGACCTTCTGTTAGTGTTTTCGTGCCCATGTATGTGCAAGAACCCAACATAAATGCACAAAACACAGAATTCCTTAACATGTACAGCTCTTTTTGCTATGGAAATAATGAGACAATGCCCTAGAGCCAAAGCTTAACATTCACAATGAACTTCAAGTCTTGCACAGATAAAGAGTAGGCCCATCTTTACACCATGGCAGACTGTGACAACAAGCCACAAACAGGTATTCACAACTAGTTGCCTAACTCACCATCAATGTTTTTGTTGTTGTTGTTGCTAGAGCAGACTTTCTGAGGTGCCTGAAACTCATGATCAATGAGGTTTTTTAGAACTGACACCAAAGAAGGCCACACAACAAAAAAGAGGAAAAGGATGAGCTGGAGAATAAGTGTCAGGGGAAGAAGGAAAAAAAAAGTAGAGCTATTTAATCCCCTCCCCCCTTCAGTTAATACAAAAACATGCTCTTAGTTTGCAATGCTTATTAAATTTATTGTTCTCAGAGTGGTTGGCCTTCCACACAACAGCCTGTAGCAGTCACCAAGGTTAATGCAAGCATTTGAAAAAGCACAGAATAGCCAGTTTCATCTGGTCATAAGTTTATAAAGGAAAAAAAATATCTCAGAAACAGCTCCAGGCTCTCAAGGAGCTATGAGGCTGCACTTGATACCCAGCAAGTTTATTATCAGTATTTCATTAACTAGGCTGTTAAAGAGAAGTCTGCCTACCATTTGTGCCACACAGGACTCATTTTCTAGCGTCTCTCTGTAGTGATCAAATTCAGAAAGGCAAGCCTAAAACATTTTTGGGGATTGCAAGGCTCAATAAACGAAAATAGATCTTAGCTCCATAGACACAAGAATAGTGAAGCATTGATTTAACGTATTTCTGGTTTAGTTAGCTGCCAGAAAAAGAAAAGCCAGACACTGCGTGCAGCTCTCATCTCAGCACGGCAAATATTCTGTTCATTAAAAAGAGCATCTCCAGAGATTCTGTTGCATCTGATGAGCCTCTCTTGAAAGCCTACACCCGTGAGCATCCTGTGTGAAAAAGTACGAATGACAGAGTCAAGATTCTGACTCCAAATACTTCCTGGTCGCACTTGACACCAACAACGAACAGGGATGGCCAGAAGATGCCTGCTCTTCACTGCCCCAGCTGACGCTTCGCAGCACTTCACGGTGAAGGAGCGGGCACCGGTTCACAGCACAGGGCTCGAAGCAACAGGACCGTATGGGATGGCAACAGGACTGGAGCCATCGATGGGATGCCAGGCTGAAAAGGCCAGCCACGCAGGTACCACACGACAACAAAGCCACCTGCTCCTCGGCCAGCCGCGCCACGGCGTGCCCGCCCGCCCAGGCTGCGCGGGTGAGTGCAAACACCCGCCACGATCCCAGCTGAGGTGCACGCCCGCGATACGATCTTTCACAGACGAATGAAGCCAATATTCATTAAAGAGCCATAAACACTACCCCGAATACCAGCTGCCCGGGCGCTCGGCTGATCCCGTCCGCGGTAGCAATTTAGTTCACTGAAGCATGCCCTAAGCTCCAGCATTTAGGAAAAAAACAGCGACCCGGGTCACGGCTTTAGCAACCTAATAGCGGCCAAATGAGCGGGGCCCGGCCGCTTTATCGCCCGTTACCAGCCCGCCGGGCCGGGCGCGGCAGCGCGGCCGGACCCGGCTGCCCCCGGCCCCGGGCTGCCCCCCGCGCCGCGGACGCCGCCCCAGCCGCTCAGTAAAATGTCCGACGGTCCGCTGCCGCCGGGAACCTACCAGGTAATCCATGTACCGGGGAGGCGCCGGGCGCCGCGCTGCCGAGCTCTCCGGAGGGGCCGCGGGCGCCCGCCCGGCTGACAGCGGCGCTGGGCCGGCGGGGGCAGCGCCGTCGCGGCGCTGGGAGCGGGGCAGGGCCGGCGGGGGCGGGACGCGCCGTCAGCTGATCGCACACGTGGGGGCGCGGCCCCGCCGCCCTTAAAGGCGCAGCAGCGCGGCGGGCGCGGGGCTCCGGGGTCCGCCGTCCCGCGGCCTGGCCGAGCCGGGGAAGGGCCACGGGTGCAGCAGAAACCCTGCAAGGAGCAGCTGAGGGAGCTGGCGTGTTTGTCCTGGAGAAAAGGAGGCTCGGGGGTGACCTTATCACTCTCTACCACTGTGGCCAGGTGGGGGTCAGCTGCTTCTCCCAGGAAACCAGTGACAGGGTGAGAGGACATGGTCCTAAGCAACACTGGGCGGGGTTCGGTTGGACACCAGGAAGAATTTATTCAGATATGGGGTGATTGGACACTAGAATGCCCAGGGAGGCTGAGGAGTCACGTCGAACACCTGAGGAGGTGTTTAAGGAAAGACTGGACATGGCACTTAGTGTCACAGCCTAGCTGAGGTCCTGGTGTTTGGTCACAGATTGGACTCAATGATCTCACAGGTTTCTTTCCCAATCAGATTGATTCTGTGACGGTTTCCCTAAACACCCTTGAAAGCAACGCCCATGTCTCCTGCTGCGACCTGACATCCCAACCTGGAGGCTTTTTCACAAATTTAAGGTGTTAGTAGCAATGCCTGACTCCTGGAGAAATGGAAGGGAACTTCTTCATGTGTGTGACAGTAGGATAGGAAATCTAAAAATGACACATCAAGTGAAAGAATAACGGAGAAAAACAGAGTGTAGTTAAAAGAAGTAGGAGAGTAGGTAAGGAGATAGAAGAAAACAGGTGTAAATGAGGAGCCAGGAGCAAGAGGGAATCAATATTTATAAGGATCTTGGTAAGCAGTTCACCTACCTCTGGTAAGCTGGGGTGAGGGAACATAAATTGCAATTACTGCTCTGAATTTTGTAACTAATTAAGGCCTGTTGTGGACAGTCTTAATTACTATATCCAGAGAGTGTTGGTAAGATGTTCCCCCTTGGCCCTGCCCAAAACACATCTTGCCAATTGATAATTAATTTTCCTCATACATCTAGTCTAGAAAAAAAATTATTCCTTTGGCTGTCCTTACTTTACTTTGAGATTCAATATCAAATACATCTGCATAGCAACTCAAGTTTAATTTAGATGAGTACAAATTAATTTTTTTTTACTTTTAATTATATAGAGGTTCACTAATTTTAGTACTTTAGTAGGTTATGGGTGGAAGGAGGGATACAGGCTTGGCCCTTCCTGCTATTCAGCATTTTGACTGTTTTTCATGTAGTCACAGCCTTTGCTGGCAACAGTCTCTTGATCCTGAAATGTCCTTTTGGCAGGGGGAACTACAATGTAAAGACTACTTTAGCCACTACACGGGTGGGTAAAGTAGGCCTCTCAATAATGTAACGCAGGAGCTCCAAGAAACTGATTTCATCACACTTCTGTCATCACATGTGATTTTTAACATTTTGCAATGCTTTCCCCTTAACAATTAAAATTCTTAATTTCTTCTTTTTTAGCAGTAATACATCATTCTTGAGACGTGCTGCCTTTTGATGCTTCTCTAAATGAAGGGTGACTGAAATGAGAACATCAAGGACAAGCAGATAGTTCAGAACTGTTTCCTGTGAGACAAATAGGAAAGGACTGGGAATTATTTCTTCTATAACTGATTGAGAAGAAAATAGAATTATGAATCTAGAGAGTTGCTGCAGAGATGCTGCTGTGATAGGAAAAGAAGTAATTGGCTTTTATTGCAAGAAGGAAGATTCAGTTCAGCTACTGGAAAATAATGGGAAGGATATTTCTACATGGACAGACATCCCATTCAAAGCTAGCAGAATTTCTGAAAGTAGCCATGAGTCATAATAACATTTCTCAGATGTAGTTTAATTTAGTTACTTAGCACTGATGTACATCTGGAGAAAAAGACCCCTCTGTTTTATATGAAGCTAATAGATCTGATTATGAAGATGTAGTGTGTTCATATATCCCAAGAAAAATGTTTATTCTGTTTCATAAGTGTGATTTTCTTTCTAGTTGATAAACAAGACCTCACGATCTGGACACAAAATCAGTTTTAAAAAATCAAGAAATTTATCATATATACAATGAAAATCCCACAAATTTGATCAAAAGAGAAGTCAAGCTTAAATTTATGTATTAGTCCTTCTGTTCACTATAAACACATTATTCCTTTGGCCATTGCATAGCCTTATGGCACTTTAATTTTATTACATAAAGTGGAGATTAACGTTGAACAATAGCAGAATGTAAGCAGAATACAAGTCCACATGCCTTCCAGCCTACATAGCAGTCATGATGTTGCTGAGATTTTTCTAGCAAGTCCTGTAAAATTTCTTTCATCTAAAATGAAGTTCAGTTTCATATTGGAATATATGCCTAATGCAGTGTAAGTTATCTTCATAAAGAAGCTTGTCAGCAGGAACTCATATGTCAAGATAGGAAGGAAGAGATCAAAGTATTTAAATGGAGCAAACGTCATGTGTTGGCTGTGAGGTAATTAGTCTAGTTCCAAAAATGGAAGTGAGCTTATGCAGAAGCACAAGTTTATCTTCAGTGAAATCCTGTCTCAAGAAAAATTTTCTGTAAACTTGTATGAAAAATAATCAGTCTGGTACTCAGACTTTGACCCTGAAAAGTGCTGAGTACAACATTGCTTCTGTCACTGCAATTTAATGAGTGTTTAACCTAAGAGTAGCACCTGACAAATTCAAGCATTTGTAGCACTAGCAGTTAGCAAACTCTGATGGTGGATTTGACATAAAGGTGTATTTGTTACCTAATAGATATCAGCAAAATGGGAATTTAAAATGTGAATACTAACTAATATGCCTATTTCCAAATATATCTGCCTGAATATATTTTTTGGAATTGCATAGCCAGCTGTATATATGAAAAATTGTCCACTGAGCATTATCTTGGAAAACAACATGAATGACAGGTAGTGCATCTTTTAGTCATATTGCTTTAATTTCCAGACTCATTAGTTAAACAGATTCTGTCATAATAATGCTTCTGTAGAAGTCCTGCAGAAAGCAGTGCTGCTATTTATCCAGTAGGTGTACATAGATATAGTGGTGGCACATCATGGTTTGAATGATCTGAAAACTGGGTATTTTACAAAAGATTCCCTCAAACAAAAAGACCCAGTAGCACATCAGTGACTGAGACAATCTAAACCACTTTGCCACATGAGAATAATTTAATTCTTTAAAAAGACAAAGTACAAAAATTATATGTTTGTTCTCCCCTTGCTTTCTTCATCCCACCCATTTTTTTTAACAGGGGAAAGGCAAGTGATTATTTTTTTATTAGTAGCCAGAAGGTGGTTGTTTTAATCACTAGGTTTTACTTATATAAGGAGACTTGATAGCTCTGTTTAAGAACACTAATTACTGGAGGGGCACAATATTTTACCCTTATAAATAAAGTTGACAAGAAAAGTATTTATTATCTTTGAAAGAACTGAAAGAGGCTACCTTACTCATACTTGTCAACATTAGTTTTCCATGGTAGAAGGTTGTTACAGCAGCAGTTGTCCCATCTTAGGACAACTCATAGGATAGTTAGTAGGAAAGTAAAACATAATTTATACCTTCAGGTTAATACCATATACTTACTCTGGAAAAATAAAATCTGTAGGAAAAAACTCTCACATAAAAATATGGACTTCTTTGATTTAGGATGCTCATACAGTAACATAAAGGCTCCCAAATGCTACAAAAACCCTTTATTTTTTATGGCTAGAAATTTAGAATTGGATGCCTTAGAAGGTACAAATAGTGCTTAGTTCAAGAATACAAATGATGTGATAAAACAGTCTCTGACTTCACTGGCAGAGTAGAAAAGAAGTTGGAAGTTAAGATTAGTTAGAAGAGTTCTGTTGTTCACCAGCTGGAAAACTGATAGGAAAAATATTTGAATGGTCTAATGGTAATAGATTTCTAAGTATACATTTTAACAATAAATGCATGTGGCCAATTGTGACCAAAAGTATTTCCTAGAAATATCCAGAAGGGCATAAAAATGTAAAAAGAGCTGGACAGAGAAATGAAAGAATGAGGTTTTCATTAGGAGTGTTTGAATATTAAATAGATGCCAAGAGCAGTCAGCAGTTTTATTTGCAGCTCAAATTTCAGTAACTTGGAACCTGCTGTTAATCAAACTCATGTAACTTACCGGGAGAGGGAGAAGGTGTTCTGAGTAAATAATGTTTGAAGCAATTTGCAGCTCTTTATCTAATATATTGACAAATGTCAACATGCAGAGATACTGCAGCCAAAGGTGAATGAACACTATGAGAAGCAAAACCTCTCAGTCAAAAATCTCTTTCTCTTTGCTCTAATGCTTTGCTGCCTTCTGGCATTTTGGTCATCATGTGTACTATGGTTATATATTTTTTTGTTTGTTTGTTTTGGTTTTGGTTTTTTTTTTGGCCTGTAAAAGAACACATAGATATGAAAGCAAGCAAACAGATTTTGAAAAGGATATTTCACCTGTTTTTCCTCTTGTTTCCTGAAATATTTGGCTGACCTTGAGGTAACCTCACTGGCAAAATAACAACAGGCAGTCTATAAGCAAAGGTTAATGATGAAACAAGGTCAAAAGTAGAAACCAGTTTCCCACTGCAGTTACATTGATATACATTTAGTATAATTATAATTAATAATTAATTTTAACCTTTGGGTTATGAATAAAGTGATTATAATATTACAGTTGATTTTATGTAAGTTATTTACTCTTTCCTGTGCACCAAAAAATGTTGCTGTTGATAAAATGATGCAAAAAAATTTGCCTGAGGAAATTTGAATAGATTATATTGCCAAGTAGGCTGAAATTTACATGTAATATTTTTTCATTTCTACGTCACCCCAGCTCAAGTTGGTAGTGCTGTAGACTGATTTTTAATTTCATGGCTGTTCTATGTTAGGTTTTTAAACAGTCCCACAGCAATAAAATGTGTAATTAACAGTCCTAGTCCTAAACTGTTAACCTTGTTTGAATTATTAGCAGAATTTGAAGACTAAATGGCCACAGATATTTGCCTTGGTAGTAGGATTTCTGTGTTTAAGAGATTTAGGAATTTGGAAGTCTTAGACTTAGGGCTTTAGGGTTTCTTCTCATATACACTTAAGAAAGCATTTGCATCTTTCCTTGATTTCTTTTTTGTGCAATGTAGAAAATAATGTGGTTATGTGAAGATTAAAAAAAAATAAATTCACAGTTCTGATCAGGTTTAATTTTCTATTGCTTGTGGCATGATTTGGTTTAATTCTCTATTGCTTGTGGCACTGTGGAATACTTCAAGAGATGAAGTAGAAGTTGTATCTTACCTTCATGTCCCTGCTAACAAGGGAGGTAAACCCTAAGAAATCTAGTCATGTTTTTCATAATGTCTGGTTTTCTGGGATGAACTGAACTTTCCAATTTTTGTGACTTAAGTGTGGTATATTTTATGAGGACTATAATTTTGTTCAAAGTTTGTAGTACATTTGTTTCTAATATTGTTTACAAAGTACTCAAATATTTATCTCTCATGTTCAGATTGTTTTGCCTTTTTACTGAATGAATATGTAAATAGAAACAGTACAGTTAGACTCTGTGGTCTTTGCTCTAGTGTTAAATGCAAGTACATGTGTCCCTTTGCAGTCTTTTATTTCCATGATGAATGCTTTGTTAGACTAGAATTATACTTGTACTCCTAATTTACCCCTAAAAAAATGAGAGACACAATACTCAGTCTCTTTCAAATTATAAATGGGCTGGGTACTGATCCAGTTCTTACAGCCTTCCACCTTCTTATTCGGGCTCAGAAAATACTTCTTATGTTGATAAGTTTTCAAATCATAGTCTTACTAAGGTGTGAAAAAAATGCCATTGCTTTACTAGAAGAAAATGTATCTTATGACCTACATAATGCATCTGTTGTGTTTGAAGATTTACAGTGCCCATCCCACAGGTCTGCCTGTCCAAAGGAGAGGGAGGTCAGTACACAGATAACGCTCTGCAGTAACCTGGAACATGGGTGACCGTGGTCTGCATCAGTCTTTCTCTTCACTCCAAAGGAGGAAGATTCAATAATGGCACATTATGAATTGGTGAGAGGAATTATAACGTCTCAATGCAAATGAAGGTACAGATGATTCTGAAACAAAAGAAAATGCAATTTCCATATGACCTTGTGTTTCATATTTATACTGAATGTATTGTCCCATCTTATGTACTTACACTGTGTCTTCCTTAATAGTCCTGTCTTCCCAAGTCAGTGTGACTACAAACTCATAAAACTAAACTTTGCTTGTAGTGTAAATATAGCATATATTAGGAATAAGCTTGGCAAAGCATTGCAGCAATATCTGAAGATGACCATTTTCTCTCTTGCTGGATATAATGAACATCAGATACAAAGTCTCTGTGGTTCAAGGTTTTTCTACACTTTTAGTTTGTTTCTGAGTACTAAATGAAAAGAAAAATGCTTTCTAGCAAAAATAATAACTGCTAAAAATGAATAAAAAATAATTGGTATAGACATACCTTTGTACCAGGTTTTAGTCTCATCTAGGTAGTATATTAAATAGCACATTAAGAAGAGAAAGAACAAAATAGTAATACACAGCTTAAAGTCTGAATGCCACTTACCAGTTCACACAAATGTAATTCTTTTATTCATATTAGGCAATTTAAACTATGCATGTGAACACAACTTATAATTAAACCTGCATTTTGCTATGCAACATATCCTTAGGAGCTCTTTTTTGTCTTTAAAGCACATCCTAAAGGCCTACTGACAATATTTATAGAAGCAGATAGTAAATAGATCCTTCCTAATTTATTTTTTTTCTTATCTCAGATTTATCTTAGAAATCCACAGGTCAAGTTTTCACTGCTTGTTTGGTATCACAGATTTTTAAGAAACTGTTCTATTAGTGTGAGTGGAAATAAGAAAGGAACCCTCTGCAAAATGGATGATCTTTGTAATGAGAAAGGTTGCCCATTCTGAAGTCACATGCAGAAATCCACTTTTAAAAACATAAATTAAATTTGCATCTTCAGCATTACCTTTATTATTATAGCAATACTAAGAATATCATCTCTCTGGAAGGCAGGACCATTTGTCTCAGAAAAAATAGAAAAGCCTATACTCATCTTTATAAAGATGCTATACTTGATTTGAAGACCTAATTCATGTTTCTACTAAAATCTCTCTTTTCAATAGAAGCAAGACACCAGCTACCTGACTTTCATGTAACGGCTACTTTGTTTACAAGTTTTCTTGTTAATTGAACTGGATTTTCATAGGTCTTATGCACTTACTTCTACAGCTAGGCAGACTTGAAAGGAAAATATAGCTTTTGAATTCTGGCTACCCAGCATACCTCATCCATGGCCAAGAGGGAAATGTAAAGCAAACAAGTGAAGCAGCTTAGATGTGTTTATCCAAACAAAACTAAACTCTAAAAGGAAATTTGATTATATAATTACTTGTCTCATAACTAGCACATTGATCAAAAGATGTATTTTGCACTTTGACCATGTAGCCTGTGTGTTTTTGGAGTACATATTTTATCTTTGAACTTAGGCTAAATTAGCATGACAAGATCTGACACTGTTACTTTCTGCATGGAAGATTTTTTAATTAGAGGAAACAAGACACCATCTGTTTGGACATGGGCAGCTGACCCTGAAATGCCATTGCTGTCACAGCTCTCTCCACTGTATCTTGTTCCCAGCCCAGAAGACACTTCCAGTAATACTGTTCCCAAATGACTGGAAGCTACCATCCAAGATTATAACAGCACACTGGGTGGCTTCTGAATCCTTAAAGCACAGGGATGTGGCAACAAGAATTGGGATGAAATGAGATATAATAGTGGGATTCTGCTTGTTTAAATCCTTTGTCTTACAGAATTCCATAGAAGGAATAGAAATAAAATCTAGCCTCTTAGAGTCAGAATAAAGACCTGGAAGGAGGCAGAGAGAGGATTTGCAATAAATGGAAAAAAAATCAGTATTGAATTCTGCTGTGGAAGATAAGTGGCAATGCTCAACAAGTGTATTTGAGAGTTTCATTTCTTAGAACTGATTGAAAGCAGGGAAAGAAGAACTGGAATTGGCTTTAGGATGTTCCAGTGGGAAGGATGACTGGAAAAAGTGAGGTTTGTGAAAAGGGTGGGATTATAGAAAAATGAACCCCCAGCAGATCTTGCAAAACAGGTCCCAAACACTATTGTTCACTTTGGTGGTGCCTGAAAATTAAACTTGCCCATTGCCATTGGTATTGGTGAGAAAAGCCTCCACAGATTTCAGCTGATTTCTGAAAAAGACCTGAATGGTTTGTTAGCAAGCCCTGTTTTCCTTTGGGTATCTGGAGGAAGGCCAAGGAAGTCTCTAATATCCATGGCTACCTTTTATGGAGCTTTTTGGATGCTGGTGATAGTTGTACAGTTGTACCTTTAAGATTATTCAGTTGCTAGCACTTATAACAATACATAAATTGTTTATGTTCTTTATTCCTCCTTGTAGAATGAAACTTCTGAGAAATGTTTCTTTCCCTCCCAAACACACATATAAAAATAATAAAAGAAAATGTATAAAATCCTTTTGAGAAAAATACAGGTTGGCAAGAATAAAAGACATTATTGACTGAACTAGCTGGACAGAAATAAGCTATTTAAACAATTTAATTCTGGTCATTGGGCTGTGTAAAATCAGGTGTGGAAAACAGTTAAAGGCAAAGTCTATTGTAACTCCCTAGTATATTAACTAAGAAATTTAATCTTTTTAAGGGTGTGAAAGCTATCTAACCATTTGTCTATAAAAAGCATGGAGTAAGGGTTATTGCCATTTAACAAAGAACCAAATGCTTCTGTGCCCTGGAGAGCAGAAGATGGTCACTGACAGGGAAGGATTCAGTCCAGAAAGAGATTATGTGCTGAGCTGCCTTGCTTTTTTTTTCCTGGGAAGAGGTACCAAATGAATAGACATTTGGTGTTAATGACAATTACAGTAAATGTGAACTTGCTCTTACTACAGGCAAGATTAGGTCTGCGTCATTGTTTTTTTTCTGAAATAAACACAATTACTTACTGTATTTAAAACCACAGAATTAGTGCATTATAAAACTCATTTCATATTTTCCAAATGAATGAACTAAAAGGAGGTGCCAAAAATTTCATTTTAAATATCAGTAAGAAACTCTGAAAGTGCTATCCTGTTCACAGGCAGAAGCAAGCTGCTGTGAATCAGGGTATCTCTCAGCATTCCTCATAATGCCACTCACTTTTCAGGCTCTACTAACCTGCTTTGGGATTCAGGATAGGGAAATGTGTGACTAGATTTCTGTCAGGATATGGCTCCTGCTGACAGACTTTGTGCAAAGGTCTGTATCGTTAAATATGCATTAAGTTTTGAAGAGACTCAGGAATGAAACTAATTCCAAATACCTTATAGTAAAATGTAACTGCAGACTAAGAATAGGCAGAATGCTCATTTTATAGTCTCCTTATTTTATACAAACTCTACATGACTAACTAAAATTCCATCTTATTTACAGGAAACTGCAAGTATAGAGTTAAGAGAAATAATCACAGGTTTATAGCAATTATGCTAATGGCAGTCCTGGGAAAATCACAATTCTTTGGTGTATGTTTTTTCACATATGCACATTAGCATATACAGTCACTTGTCTCTCTTACTTTCACTGCAACATTTTTTCCTAATAATGTCCAGCTAGTGTTTGAGGCTTATTTTTTTTTTTACTCATTCTACAGTATAGGCATTAGAAAAATTAAGATTTCATCCTTTTTTCCCATCGCTCTTTTAAGTCCAAAGGAATGCGAAATTCAATTTTAATATGAACTTTGTCCAAGATAGCACTGAAACTGAGTGTACAGTTGTTAATTTCAAATTGAATTGAAGCAATTTCATCCTGAAACAGCTTTTTTGGTAGACACAATCCATTAATAGTACTATAGTATGATAAGTCTATGAATGTGCATTTTTTGTATTTTCCTTGCAAACTAATGTTTTATTGGGTGAGTTAAACAAAAGCAATAGCCTTGCAGAGGACAATACAATTATATTTACTTTACCAACAGCAAGAAATGGTAAATCTGCTGAAAATGTTTTAATTTCTATTCAAATGCAACCCTTTGACAAACTTTAATTACTATGTGTTTTCTTATTTTCTGAATACCTACTCTCCACTTGCTGTACCCCTGTAATATCAGCTGCATTATAATGATGTCCAAGGAGCCACCCACTAGCAAGTGACACACTTGGTGCCATAGTAGGGCAGCTGGGAAGGCTTACCCCTTCTACTGTCTGCCTCTGATGCCTGAGTCAGCAAGCTGTTCTTTAGTTTCATCAGGAATGTTAATTTTCTTCTTTGTCACTAGTAGTACACCTTCCTACTTACAATTTTCACGATCCTCCTTGTTTGCTCTTTTTCCTCTGAAAGCTTCATAAGATGTTTTGTGGTTTTGCATGTGTGTATTAGAATATACTGTTTCTCCTAAAAATAATAATAATCTAAACAGGCATATGATGCTGATACTTTTTCCTACACTCTTTGAAAGTGGAATAAAGAGTCTGTGATTTTCCAGAAGCCAGAGAGAAAAACCTGCCGTAGAGACAAGAACCAAATTGGATTTCTTACCTCCCAAGGCAGTGCCCCTAACCAAAGTCCAGCCATCCTTTCTTGCTAATGTCTTGGCAGCAGCTTGGTGACCTATCTTGTCAGTAGCAAAACCAGTTAGTGATAATCATCTGAGCAGCACAAACGATGCTGCAGACGTGCTATGGAACAGTCTTGTGTATCCAAGAAGCTTAGGTGCATTAGGGACAAGAGTAGGGGAATAAATACAACAGAGACCATGTACTCTTGGAAATGCATTTCCACTCAGGCAATTTACTGTGTGAGTGGGAACTTTGCAATAACACTGCCCCTTTTTCTCACTGTTCTTATGTGTTTCCAGAAGGAGGGTCTAAATATAGCATGTGAATTCAGCCACTTCAGTGCAATTCTTTCATCAATCCTTCATGCAATTACAACTCCAAAGGAGAGGAAAAATAAGACAAGGATGTGAATATTCTGACTCCATCTTGAAGAATTCTTGCTTAGGAATATATTTTGTTTGTCTTTTGAAGATCCTCCACATAGTCTTGGGGCTGGAAGAAACTGGCAAGAAGCTGTGCCATGAAGAAATGCAAGTAATGGCCCTGAGATGGGGTTAGTTGCCTAGAGCATGGTGCTATTTGTAGAGCATGTAGGTTCAATCCCTGTTACAGACTACTTAATGAAGAGTTGGACTTGATGATTCTTGTGGGTCATTTCCCACACAGAAAAATTCTGTGAATCACAATGTCCAAGATGCTGATGGTGCTCTCAGCCAAACGGTATCTTACATGAGGAAAACAGACTGAAATATGGTAAGGTTGTGTAAAAGCTCTTTAAGGGCTAAGTATTTTATGTGGTAACTATGGATTTCAGCTCTTGAAGCAAGTCCAAAGCATGCTTTACAGGGCTGTTTTACTCTCATTAACCTATTTTAGATTTTTCCATTGAGGGAGAGATTCTTTGCCTTTAACCCATCTGAAGAATATGTGAGAAGGAATACCTGTTGTATTTTATTTCTGGTTTACTTCAGCATGAAGGAGATGGGTAGATCTGGGTCATATATGATTTTTACAGTCCTGGCAAAACAACAAACTACTTTTATATGTAACTAGTGTGAAATTTGATCTCTTGCTTCTATGTGGAGACTTTAAGAATAAAATGGATGTGAATTTGTTAATTCATTAACATGTAATTCTGTTAATACTTATTCAGAGAATTAAATATTGTTGTTATTCTGAACACATAAAAACCTATAAGCAATGGTACTAAATTATCCAGATACTGGGAGATTCTTTCAAGTAAAACTGTTTATCTTGTGAGCAAAAGGCACTGTCCATTTGTGCTTAGAGCAAATGATTCTTATTGGTGTTGATCTTCATTTTCACCCGGCTCAGCAGTTCAGCATGCATATTAATGCATTGTCTTAGAACTGAGCCGTAGGCAAAAGTAATGTTTTTCACACACTCACTGTTTTAATGGCTAGCTTTCAGAAGACTGAGACACATTACTGCATACAAACAGGTATTGGTAAAAGTCCAAACAAATTCTGTGGTATATAAATAGACTTCCGATCTAAACATTTTAACCTGGGTCCTACAAAATCTTGCCTACATTTCCTAATACAATTCTGCTGCAGGTGGAGAAGTACTGGTGTATCTCTGCTGGAACCGTGGGCAGAAAACACCCAACAGATTCAGTCTCTAGACAGTGAAGTACCGAGAGGTTTCATTTTACCGCGTCAGCTGACTCGTAATTCTCAAGGGAGAGGAGCAGACAGAAGTCACAACGTATTCAGATCTAACTTCTCTTTTGAAAACTGTACATTGCTATCTGAATTAATTCCCAAATGTGATTTTGCCTTTCTGCATATCTCACATCCTTGTAGCAAATTGTGTCTTGTGAAAAACAAAGAACAGAAACCTAACAACTGTGCCTGTTGTGCAGTAAATTTTAAAAATACTTAGTAAGAAAATGCTGAATTTCAGATTTCCTGTGCACATTTATTTCAGCTTGCACGTGCTTGTATATTATAATGTGCTGGCCAATTATATAACTCTACTGTATATTATCCACTTGAGTACTATATCAGTCAGAATTAAATTTTCTTTCTCTTTACTTTCTAGTAAAGAATTATTGATGCATGTGGCCTCATATTTTTCTTATGTTTTTTACTCACCACTTGACAAATTCTGTCTGAGGACAGAAATCTTTTTTTCTGGTCACATAATCTGACATTTGCTTCTTCACAGATACTATACTGTGAAGATACTATACATTTCTGTACAGATACTATATTGTTTCTAAGATTCTATTATACTAGTCAGTTCATTTTCACAACAATCCACTAGGATGAGAGATTATTATTGCTTTCTTTCAGAAGCAGGAATGAGGCACAGAAAGTTAAAGGTCAAAGTATTTATTGATTTTGGGCACCTAATATAAACCAGAAAGGATTCTGTAATATTTAATACCAAGTAGCTACTGGCCAGACCACTTTTAATATTTCCTGGAAGTATAGCTCTCAGTGCCTAGCACTGCTGTAGGTCTTGACATTCCAGCTCAGACCTGCTGTAGTGGAACAAACCATGGGCTAATGGCTTTTTCTGCTAGTCTTTCTCCCCACATCTGGAGGTAATAACTGCAGGGGTTTGTATCGAGTAACAGAAGGCATCAGTCCAACTGTTTCAAACATGCAAGCAATCAATTCCGTATTAGTTGGTACAAAAGGCAGAGCTGACATGTGGCAGCCTCGTATGCCAGCCAGCTTGGAGTTGGAAAGACAACTCCTAATGAACTCACCCACACATGAGATGGGAACATAAAGGGTAACAATATGTTGGAGGCAAGTGCAGCAACTACGTTTTGGAAGGCTCTAATGGCTTTTTGTCTTCTCAAATGGGACTGAATTTTGCAAGCAGTCATGCACCTGACATGTAATTGGTATGTAGCAAGCATATCTTGTAACCACATTACCTAGCTGTCTAAATGCTTGCTTCACACTTGGATATGGATTAAAAAAAATACATGCATGAAATCAATGTGTGACATTTGAAACCAGGAAATTGAAATTATTATCAGAGTATGTAAAGTGGCTTTAAAGACTAAAGAAATTGACCTCCTGAGAAAAAATAATAATGATTCTACATAAGCAGAGTGTAGAACTGCAACAGTAGGACAACTGAAACACACTTTTCCAGATTGCAGAATAGTTTGGTGTCTTTTTATGGTATCAACAGGATGCATTTTGTACTCTGGGAACAATAGCAACAGGAAACTGTATTTGATTTCTCAAAATAGCATAGGCCTCTTGCACTGTTTAAGTACCTAAACTTAGGATGCTGGTTTCCTAGGTTCTAGACTAGACCTTAGATTACAGAATTACCACTTGATGGTATATTGGTCCCAAATCTCTTTTGCGCTGCAGTCTGTGCATGTTAGCCCTCCCACAATTATAGTTCATAGAAGAACTCATTACAATTGTTTGCACACTGGTGGCCAAGTGCTCTCTATGGCTTGCTATACAAAGGAAGAATGAAGCATGATTTGGCATCTGATTTGGCCCTGACTCTTGTTCCTGAGCAGAAAAGGGGCCTGTCTCCAAATTACACACAGTGAGGTTGGAGAACTAAATGAAAAACATAATAAAACTGTATCAGAGTAGGGAGAAACTAGAAAGCATCCTTTCTTCCTCTCGGTCATATTCTTAACTCTAAAATGTTGTACATTAAAAGAAAAAAAAAAAAAAGAAAAATTATTGCCAAAAACATCTAACATTGAACCAGTGAACCAGTGGAAAAAAATGCCATAGGCTGTGAACCACTGGTATGTGATTTAATAGTCTGTCATTGTTCTTAATCCTGTTATTGTTTTCTTTGCTATTTGTTTCCACAGCAGAATTCCAGCAGTGGTAGAAAATGAATAGCGGTGAGACAGTTTGGAGTCTATATGAAACTGTCTGGTGGTTCTTTCTGTCCTGGATTTTTGCTAGAATAAGATTTAATCCTGTAGCCTTTACTTTGCTGGTATCCTCAGTGAATGTTCTGAGAATAGCAATGACAGTAGGGAACTGACAAATTGGACAGATAACCACGAATTATTCAACATCCAGCTGCCTTTAGATACTATCACTCAGTACAGTTTGCTGAATGACAGCTTGCTTGTATGCTAATAACCAAATTTCCTTGTGTTTAGAACATTTTGTCTTTCATTCTACTTCAGCCTCCCTTATCCATCCATCAGTCATTCTCTTTGTAAAACTGAGTATGTTTTGAATTGATAACAAAATGTCAACAATGCTAAGTCCTTTGACTGCATGTCAAAACCCCCTCTGTGGTTTTGCCTGTGATTAACTCTTCCGAATTATTTTCCTATGGCTTTATTCATCCCTACACAAAGAAGCCCCTCTTCACTTTCTCAACAACAGAGTCCACAGTCTGCTATCTGTAAGTTCCTTTAACTGGCCCCAAAGAAAGCTACAACCTATATGGAATAGCTAAGTAAACACGTCCAGTAAATACATGAATTATTTTTTAAAACTTCTCTCTAAGAATAAGTAATCGTGTTCAAGTTCAGTTGTACTAATTACTAATCTTTGACTACAGAACTACCCCATTAGCCTGCACAGACTTTATTTACCTCCTTGGTACAGCAAAGATTAAAATGGAAGAAAGAGCTTCTACTGTGAAAATAAAATTGTTTCTATAACATGTGAGTTAAATCTGCCTTTATAAATATTATTTTTCTCTCATGACCTCACTACAAACACTTTATTTCTTGCAGAGCATGCTATGTAAACATAAACCTTAGCAAAATAAAGTTTAATTAAAGATCTTCTGACCTTCAGTAGAACAACATACAAGCAACAGATTTTCACAGCAGTTACAATCTGTGTTATAAAAATAGCTGTATTGAGAAATATGTGTTGGGAGGAAAGTATTGTACTAATGAAAAGAAAGTGCTACCTTTCCTACTAAGCAAGTTTCTGGTCATGTTAAATAAATGTTTACATGTACAGAGATCTTTGTTTAAAGGGTAAGGCAAAGACTGAGTTAGATTCTGCCAGTATTTTATATGATGCAAAGGCTTTTCTATGAAGAAAAACAAATCTCCATTTTTTCCAGCTTATGTGGCATGAGGTCTTTGCAAATAGGCAAGTGTACAAAGCAGGTCAGAAAACATTTTTAGATTTTGCAAATTCTAACATGTATAAACAGAAGGTCAAATAAGAGAGAGGAGAAAAAGAGTTATAAATTTCAGACCTAACACTTTTTTAAAGCATTCGTGACTCACATATGTGGAATAACCTTCTTATCCATGTCCCATAAATTCAGGTTCACAGTAAATTAATTGATAATCTTTAAAAAAAGACTGTTCAAGTACTGTCTTCTGAGACGAATGCATACCAGGAAAGAAAATGTAATTTCAGAAGTAGTATGGATGATAGGGTCAACATAAAGGGCATAAATTCTGCACTGATACACTTCTTCACTTAAGTGCAAGTCCAGTAAAGATAAAGGATTATGTAGTTTATATATCAGAATTTGTTCCTCATACTTCACTGAAAACTATCAACAGAAAAGGATTTCTGGCAGCAGATTTTACTACCTCTGCAGCCTTTCTGGCATTGCCAAAGTCAGGAAATTAGGACAATATGACACTCTTGTTTAATTCCAACACTAAATGAAATAACAGTTCTGACACAGGAGCCAGATTTTGATTGGCTTTCACCATGTGGAGGGGCAAGGTAAGACAGTATTTTTTGACAATGAATTATTAGCTTTTCTTTGAAGAATTTCATATTACCCACTAAGTCACCATATGAAGACAATAGCATTGAGACACCATCAATGTGCTATCAGTCTCTCTAAATTTGAGATTTTGGAGCAAGCCTTCCACTCCAGTCAGTCTCCAGCTGCTCATTGTCAGCTAAAGATGCTTGATGCGGTAGTTAATTCCCAGGGTACATTGATCTTAAACAGCATATTTATGTCATTCCAGAGAGGAATTGTTCACTGACCACAGCAAACACTTCCTGTAAATTCTTCACAAATCCCAGCAGTTTCTTTATAAAGACTTTCTGGATTAAGTACTTCTACCCTAGGATCAGCAGCAGTCACCTTCCAGACCAACACGTTGACACTCGGCTCCAACGAGTTCTCGGCTGAGTTTTCAGGGATTCTTTGAACACAGAACTTCTTAAATCTCAAAATTAATTTAGTAAGTTCAATTATTTTCTGGTAAGCAGTTACTTTGACAAATATATCCAGTACACCACATATCTTCACTTAGTTCTTTGGAAGAAGAAAGAAACAAACATCAAAAACCAAAAGGAATACTGGGTGCTTTGTGCTAATTACATACTAGCATATTTATGTGTAATGTAGGTCCTACACAATACATAATTTTAAAGAGCATAAATTTTGCTACTTCCAGAACTTCATAGGTGGGATCTTCAATACTTGCATTATTTTTGCTAAAGTGGTCCACCTGAAAACATGCACAGCTGAAGACGTCCCCATAGACAGGGGTTTCACTTCTTAAATGTACATGCCAGCACTAGCTATGAAATTTTAACAGGCCAAAAATAAATACATGAGTCTTACTCTACTTCATTGCCTTGAGCTATTCCTACCAAGTCTCAGGTAAAACCTTCAGTGAGGCAGAGGAGGAGGAAACCTGAAAATTGGCATTCTTCCTGGAACACTAGTTGATTTTTAACTGGTGAAAAGTAAGACTGTTTTTACAGCAAGAGTGCTTTGGATCCTGACTTTCAACAGCAAAACGGAGCTAAGGCACATTATTCTCTTTTAATTGCTCATTTCCTCTCTACTGTTTTGTCTGCAAGAATTGAACAGGTTATTATCACTCTAAAGAGTTTGCTTTCTATAGGAATTGCTCAAGAATTTGTGAGGCACAGATGCATTTGCCTCTAGCATACATACAATTATTTAGAAACAAGCCATGTGAATAACAAAGCAGATCTGTATAAAGAGTTGCATTACATTACTGTAACTTGTACAGTAATGTGAAATTCAAAAGTCATTGTTATACATGTTGTATTTCATTCCTTCACTGTTCTGTAAAGCTGTTGTTCCAACAGCCGCTGCTGTGGTCCTGTCAACCTTCATCTGCTTCATCCTCATCCTTCATCTGCCCTTCTATCATTTCAACATGTCAAGAAAAGCTGGTCTTGTAATAGTGGTTGCAATGTGTCAAAATGATAGTCCATTCCATGATTACTTATATTTCTCACAATACTTCCTAACAAATGAGCAAACACTTGATTAGTAGTGCAAAAGCTGGGATTAGTTTTCCACTTCTGAAGAGGCCCATAAGTTTCAGGAGAGCATCAGTGCCCTGGAGAGTTTTTCCAAGAGGTTGAGCAGATCCAGCTTTTTCCAGGTTTTGAAGGACATGACCCACAAACAGAAGTCTCCCTTCAGTAAAGCTGGCTATGCAACAACACCGTCTTTACTACTTGCAAGAATTTTTATAACACAGCGTGAAGTCTTGCTGCAGAAAGAGTTATGTTGTGATTCACTGACCAATATAAACACCATGTGATTGGAATGAGACATTACTAAAAAAAAAAATCCCTCAATATTTATTGAAAACAGAACACTTAGTATCTGCTGATTAGACTCTTGGAGCACTCAGGACTCGTGGTTGTTTATTTCTTCAGCACTTGTACAGATCCAGATCTAACCATCCAGCTAAAAAGACAGCTCATATCTTTAATGAGCAATGCATTCAAACTGATGGAAGTGAGATGGCAATTTTCTCACTCTAAACAAATATATTAAATGCCATGTGGAAAATAACTCTTTACCATGGAGTTTTCATATGTATCACTCCATTTACATTGTCACATACATCTTATTTTACTATCTAGCTCTTTGGTACCAACCACAAAGCTTGTATTTCCCGATTGGGCATAGCAGAGCACTGGTAAAATGAAAGGAAAGAACTACTTTTTCTTTCATTTCATATCTATTGCAAAGTCTTAAATGACAATATCTCTTTTGAATGACATGTGAAGTAGATAATGAGTGGAATCCCTGTGTGCTATCGTAAAAGTAACTGGAGTGCTTAATCTAGATTCATTTGGATAATTACATGGCCCTGATGTGAATTTAGTGTGTTAGCTTCTTCTGTAAGAGCTCTTGTTCAATTCAGCCTGCCATCCTGTTCACATTTTTCCCCTTTCAGCAGTTACTGAATTTCAATGGTAGTTTAAATACAAATTTATCTTTGGGGAATCAAGCACACAGAGGAATGTGACAGGGTAAGCTACTATTTCAAAGTTGTGTCAACCTGTATTTATTTAAGAAGTGCATCAAAAATGCGTTACTCTCATGATTTTTTGCACCTTAGATTTTTGCAGTTTAAAATACAGCTTTACCAGGATGCCTACTTTATATATTTAATAGCATCACAGAATCATAGAAAGGTTTGGATTGAAAGAAACATTTAAAATAATTGAGTTCTAAGCTCCCTGCTATGGGCAGGGATGCCACCCACTAGATCAGATGGCTCAAAGCCCTATTCAATCTGCCTTGAAAGTTCCAGGCATGAGGCATCCACAACTTCTGCAGACAACCTGTTCCAGTGTTTCACAACCTACACAGTAATTAATTATTTTTGAATAACTAATCTGAACCTAGTTTAAAGCCATTCCCTCTTGTCCTACCACTACGTGTCCTTGTCAAAAATCCCTCACCAGCTCTCTTGTAAGCCCTCTTTACATACTGGAAGGCCACAATAAGGTGTCTCTGGAGGCTTCTCTTCTCCAGGATGAAAAACCCCAACTCCCCACCTGTCTCACGCCGTCTCTACAGGAGAGGTTCTCCAGCCATGTGATTGTCTTGCTGATCCTCATCTGGGCCCACTCCAACTGCTTTATGCCCCTTTCATGCTGAGGACCTCAGAGCTGGATGCAGCACCACAGGCAGAGGGGCAGAATCCCCTCCCTCGACCTGCAGGTCACGCTGCTTTGGATGCAGCCCAGGACGTGGCTGACATATTTTTTCCACCACCCCCTTCCAAACTACAGAGAAAGTAGCTTTGATCGGCGTGAAGGAGTGTAGAGCTCGCATCTTGCGTTTCCTGAGCAGAGGGCACGGCCGGGCGGGGCGGGGCGGGGCAGGGCGGGGCAGGGGCAGGGTCGGGCAGGGCTCGCCCCGCGCTGTCCCGCGCTGTCCCTCGCTGTCGCCGCTGCCCGGCCTCGGCAGGAGATGTCGCTGTGCCCCGCGCAGCCGGCCCGCGCGCTCCCGGCCGGCCGTGCCCGCGCATCCCGGCGCCGTCCTGGGAAAGCCGTGCGGGAGGCGGACGCCCGGGACGGCGTGGGAAGCCAAGCCGTGCGGCTGCTGCTTCGGAAGAGCACCTACTCTGCAGTGCTTTCCCTGGGCAGCCTCCCCGCTGGGCAGCACCGAGAGAGGCCTGCGCAGGCACGGAAAAATCGGGAAACAAAACATGAGGCTCCGAGCTGGTAATTTAGGACATCGATCCTGCTGCTGTCGGATCTGCTCTGAAGGTTTAGAAAGCCTACTGTTATTGAAACCCATTTCTGGACCGCAAAATCAAGGGTGTTTGTGTGTTCCACTTGGCATATTCCCCATATTAGTAACAAAGAGATAAGAAGCATTGTGCTAATTCATGAGACCACAGGTGACAAACTGAGAGATGGGACTGAACAGCGGAGAGGGCAGGATGGGAAAGCAGAAACAGGCTCTATAGCTTCATTATCAAAATCTTTCTGATTTCTTGTCCTACAGAGTAGAAAGGGATCCTATAACCTTCTGCGGCATTTTGCATACAACATGAATTTAAAGGGTATTCAAAGAATCTTTCGTGCTAATTAGGCCAGACAGCTTCAAGTATGGTTAATGCAGACATTTGAAAGACTAACACAGCTGTTTCTGGGAATAGATACAGCTGTCCCACAGTGACTTGCACTGAGATGGTGGCTTCTGTTTTCATTTGAAGTGTAACTATGGGCGTTTTCCAGAGATAATGGGAATAAATAAAACAAAATTTAAAAGTGATAGTCCTGTATAGTACATTTATTAATGAAGTGCAAAATTGAAGTAAAATAACTCAGGCTATCATCACAGAATTAATTAGGGGCAGCAATAGCTTTCAGGAATCTGTATAAGCATATCACAACCAGACAGGCATACTGCTTGACTTCAGGGTTAAATTTTCCTCATCAAGTGAATCATTTGCTAGCAAAAGAGAAAACAGCTGAACAGATAACAGGCAATGCTCCAAATTGGTTTTATCACTATTTTAGTCAGTCATACATTCAGAATTGCATTTTAAAATTTTTTCTGGAGGACACTTTAAGGAGAACAGCCAACAGTTAAATAAAGTAGCCTACTCTCCTTACTCACAATACTTCTCCCTCACAATGTTCAATTACACAGTTGGCCATTAATGTAAGTTATCTTGAACTTTTGAAAATTCCCCTACCTTCCAATGCAGCCTTTCTAATTTTAAAATAAAATGGCAGCCTTAAAGCTTTAATTACACATACATCTGGTAATCCTGCCCTGCTGTTAATGCAATAAAGAAGCCAATATCTGATAAATATCTGATAAATATCAATGTTTAGTTGCATTAATGCAATGAAGAAGCCAATATCTGATAAATATCAATGTTTAGTTGCATCTTTCTTCATTACTCCATTAGCAACCAAAAATCCCATAATAACTATGGTAATGGAACATGTAAGAACAAGGGAGAGACAGAACTCTGAACATCAACAGCCAAACAAGAAGGAATAAAAGTATCTTATTTGATTATTTCTAGCTCTAGGGCAACTCTTACTGCATTAGTGAATTAAACAAAAAAATCTTCACCATCAATTGCCATAACACATTCTGCTTCACATTACCAAGCTCAGCCAGAGTGATATTCTAGCAAACATACTAAAATTCAGAAATTACTTTCCTTCTTTATTGCACTTTTCTCTTTGCTCTTGTTAAACAAACTACTGACCTTTGTAGGCATTATCTGCCCTGCAATCATAGAATAGCAACAAGATTACAAGCTAGAGGTTGTAGAAGCTACTACTCTGGAGATATGTGAAACCCACCTGGATGTGATCCTGTGCAACCTGTTCTAGGTGAATCTGATTTAGCAGGGGGTTGGTATAGATGATCTCCAGAGGTCACTTCCATTCCCAAATACTTTGTGATTCCATAATTACACCTCAGAGAGCCTTGGAGGTCATCAGTCCTGCTTTGCAGACACATGCAGTAGATCAGATCACAGGTTCAAGCTATTAAGCAACAGAAGACGAAGGTTACTGGGACAATGTGATAGCAATAAGGATTTAGAATTGTCTTTACTATGCCCCTGGGGGAAAATAACTACCCTCTTCTGGAAGCTCTGAAACATGAGCTTTCATTGTAGTTCTGTCTGCAGTCTTGTGTCTGACTCCCCGACACGCTGGAGGCGTCTCTGCTGTGTTTGTAGGTTACGAAGATTGCAGGTTCAGCCCTTCAGGCTCCCCCTTTTCGGGCAGAGATTGTTTCCCTCCTCCCACCAATAACATGGTGTCCTGGGGTGACCATGCCCAAATTTCACCTATGCACAGCTTCTGCAAAAATGCCCAATGAACTTGCTAACTTTACAGTTTAGCTAACCTGAAATCTGCTCCATTCCTACTGTCAAGGTAATTAAACCTCTTCCCTCACTAGACAGATGTTTCAATTAGAATACACAATTCAATGAGAAATACGGATTTTGTACTTACTGCCATGCATCCCTTGGGAAAAACAAAAGTATTGAACTTCCATTTAAATAAAAAGATCTTTCACATTATTTAATCATTATTCATAATTATAAACAGCATAATATTGCAATAAGAAGGCATGCATTAAAACTTTTCTTTTACCAGTCCTGCATGAAAGCCATGCATGTGTTGAAGCCACTCAAGGCTGCAGTGCTATAAATAGTGCTCTATTGTTAGTGGATAAAAGACGAAACAAGTCTCACAGCACTGGAACACAGGACACTGTATTAAATGTTAGCTCTGCCTGTTCTAAAAGTGAAAGGCGACATCAACTGATAGACTGGTCTGCGGGTAAGACACACGGCTGGGCAAAGCTCAGTCTGACTCTGCAGTTTCCCAACACAGCAGGAGTAGCAGCTGATCTTTCTGCCTCAGCAATGGCAGAAGCTGTCATAAGACATTGGGTGGAAACTCCTGTACGCTACCAGGAGCAGTTTGTTGACCAAGAGCTGGAAGCACACAGACTGAACCACCTTTTATATGCTTTGCCGGGCCCTGCCACCGCTGCACAGAGCGACCCAAGGTGTGCCACAGAAAGCACGGCTGGGGCCAGGAAGAGCGGCCAGGAGGAGGAAAACACACACTTTCGGGTCTTGCTGGATGTTGTGCAGTTCCGCCCTGAAGATATCATTATCCAGACTTTCGAAGGCTGGCTCCTGATTAAAGCTCAGCACGGACCCAGGATGGACGAACATGGTTTCATATCCCGAAGCTTCACCAGACAATACAAATTACCTGATGGAGTGGAGAACAAAGACTTGTCTGCACTTTTCTGCCATGATGGCATTTTGGTTGTTGAAATGAAGAACTCAGTGGAAAAGAATTAGAACCATGTCTATAGTTATCGGTGAGATAAAATCATTCTTGATGTAACAAAATTATATCAATCATGCAATGCTGTAGGGTGTAGTAAGCATGTAGCTGTATTTATTAAAGGAAATTATTTGTATATATTTTTTGTATGCTGAGTTTACTGTTTGATGTGAACTGTTATACTGCTTGCCTCCAGCTACATATAGGTTGAAAACACAGGCTGTTCAAACAGTAGCAAACTAAGGCTAGTCTCAGCAGGAGAAAAGAAAAAAATCTATTTGATAACATATTGAAAATGGAGCACAGTTTTTATTTAATTAGCAGGAATTGTATTTCTAAGCAATAAGCATTTGTCATACATAGTCATAAATATTAAAGAAGGAATGGACAAGTTGTGAATCTTATGGAAATTTATGTACCAAAAAATCTGTTTTCTAAGTTTTGAGATTAAATTCTTCTCTCTGGAAAAGCACATGAACTGAAATATACCATGAAGAGAAAAATCCCAATTTCCACAGTTCAAGATTCTATACCAAAAAACTCTCAAGAGATTACTTTTTAGAAGTGTGTTGCATGTTTCAAACTATGAGAAAAAATAATTTATTTGCTTGACTTTACTTGCTTGAAAACACAATAAATAGAAACTGTACTTTCTGTCAAATTAATTTGAAAGAAAACCTTTAAAGACATTTTAGAAAATTGGTTTTGTTTAATATAATAACTGAAGAAAAAAATTTGCTTACAAAAGCACCAAATTCTTCTTTGTGAAACCTCAGTAATAAAAACACATTGCTCTTGCACAAATGCCTTTTTTCTTATACATTTTAAGTAATCTTGTTGTTTAATCTGATGAGTATTTAATTGTCCATGTTCCTGGACAGTTTAGGCTGAAATCCCACAACTTTGTCTTCAAGAGAAAATCTGTCTGCCAATGGTAATCCCCCTCTCCCCATGGGAACAGAGGCTCTACACGAATCTAATTTTAAATACAGAGGTTCCTTGCTGCAGACTCAGTTTCTGTTCCAGTGTCTCACATTTCATGAGAGTGGCAGAGATGAAAAAATAGCCACCTTCTATATCTAGTATGTGGTCTTCTCAATATTAAAAAGAAATAATGCTATGGGTTTGTAAATACTCACATATTTGAGGGTAACTGCATCTGCAAGTCAAACTGCTTCCTTTTATGTGTACTAGAGACCACTATGACTGGTGTGCTATGAATAGTAAAGGAATGTGGAATGGAAAGTGCCAAGTCAAAAACAGACGCTTTATCACAGCCATCTGCTGTTTGGACAAATCAAAAACATATTCAAATGAAACTGAATACAAATACAATTTTAGGAACACAAGAAAACTATGATGAACAAAACCTGGGCTCTCACTGGCTGAAGCTAGAGAGTTCATTTCAAATTAAAATCCTAAGCTTGTATGTCTGCACATGTCCATTTATGAAAAATATTTACATTTTTGTTGTTTAGACTTAAAGATGTTTTAAGCAATTGGTTTTAGAAAAGTGGGTGGTACAATTCTTGTGTTTTACCTATTAATTGTGCTAAGACTCAGAATAAATTTGTACAAGAAAGGCAGAATAAAGTCTGAATTGTAAATTTCCATCACATGCAATTATATTTTTAATACAACAGAAGTCAAGAGTGTAATGTTTTCTAACAAACTAAACCAAATATAAAACATATGTCTCTGCATTTCTATTCAACCCCACACTTTTCCCTCATATTGCCTGTGTTCAATTTGCATATTGGTTTAAGATCAAATACCAAATCAGATCTAGATTTCTATGTCTAGGAGCTTCATCAGACAGCAATCTGGTAGAAGATGTAAAATGGACTTAAGAAACTGAATTCTAGATATAGGTCTAGTGTAGAATTTAAACTTTACAGGCCAAATTTATAAAAGCTCTAAAGCTTAAACCCATGGTTCCTACACCACGTTATGGCACAACTATTGGGATAGTATTCAGGATCACAAGTTAGCAACCTGTTTTGGTGATTTTTGTTTACAGAGAGTTTTGTAAACTTTATCACTTAAACTTATAAGTTATTATAAAAACTATTCTAGCTATGATTGTAGTGATGATATTCATAGCCCTATAGATGAGAAATGTGTTCTAAAAAAACATAACTGATTTAATTATTTCAAATTAGATCATGGTTAAGCTACTGGAAACTTGGCAAGGAATTAGACCATACAGCCAAAATAATATCATCTGTTCTATATATGTTAATACCATGGTTACACACAGGCCTGCTTATGTACACAGGCCTGCCTCGCAAAACTGGGTGGAGAATGTGACATCTGATTGTTCTATATTGCAAATCTCTCTGCATCACTCTGTGCTCAAGTCTGTACTTGCTCACAATGTCATCAGTCAGAAATCACTGGAACACCTTGACCCAGACATAGCACAGATTTATCCAGCCAAACTTTACCTTCTCTCATAGACAGATCTTTACAAAAGCCTTTATCCATGCTCGTTGGTAAATGGGAACTTCCCCTGACCTGGCACCTGAGCCTTCAAGTAACAGGGACCACACTGGAGTATGGACCTGCCACTGAATTCCTGCATTTTAGCACCAAGAAGAGCATAAGAAAATGTCTCCCTCCTTTTTTTTTAAGTGGTGATTTATCAAAAGATCTTGGATGGATGATTTTTATGTATTTACTAGAACAACCTCAAAGTACTTGGCAGACAGTTTCTGAATAATCTAGAAAGATCTGTTCTTACATATTTTATATGACATTTTACTTCTATAATCTGATTAGAACCGAATGTGAATGTCACATAGAAAGGTGCTAATATTGCTCATGGGCAGCAGACTGAGATATTAATCAATAGCAAAGGATTTCAGAACAGCTACAGCTTAAGACAGGTTTAAGACATGCTGATGTGGTTAAATTAGGAACTGTGAAATTGGCTGTCTATAAAATTTTGGCCCAGAATAAGTGATAAGCCTGTGCAAGCCTTGCAGACTAAGTGTTACTGAGCCTTCTCAGTTCCCAACAGTGAGGGATTATCTTTTTAACTGATCAAACTGCTCCTCCAAATGGATAAATATGATTTAATAACCACTGTGAAAATGCCTTCATACAGAAGAAAATGTATCAATATGGCACTAGTCTCCAAAAAGAAGGTAAAAAAATAAATTTCCATAAGATTCTTGTGGGAACAAGAATGCCCAAAAATGCCTTTCATCACCTCGCTGCCTTTTCATAGTTTCTGCTGCACCCAGGGCATTTGAGTTCTCTCTGCAGAGTCCAATACTGGTAATACAGTGAACCAAGGCTGACATGATACCCACCAGTCACTCAATAATGACTTAGCTGCAGCACTGGAAAAGAGAAAAGGAAAATTCTGGTGTATCATAGGGGCAACACTCCAGCTCAGAGGGGAAGGCCTCACATTCCTTACTTCATATCCAGGAACCAAAAAGTCCCTTTTTAATCTGAGTAACAGTACAAGACTGGTTTTTAAAGTGAGTAGAAGTATTTCTGAAAATATTAGGTTCACCTTCTGTTGTTTGAAAGAGATGCAAACCTCTGTCTTGCCAACTACCAGAGACAGTGGCTGGCTCCTCTCACCCAGAGGACAGCGGCTAAATAGACATTAAGAGAGAGAAACATGGCACTCCAGCTCAGGACTCCCCATTCAGGTTAGTGCTAGAGTGGAGATTTCTGCTGTGCCATGGTGGGCTGCATTTTCACCACAAATCCCATCAATCTACTTTAAAAGCAACCCTCTTTAGCCACATGGTAATACTGCTGATGCCAGCCTTTTCAAGGGGAAGTATGTCTAGTAGCAGTTTGCACAAATGGAACTGGTGAAAATAGAGAATAATTTACAGTTCCTCCCATGCCCCTTGGTGTGCTTACTGTGCTTTGGGTTGCCCCTGACCCCAGTGAGCACTGGTGATGAAGTATGCAACTGCTGAGCTCTGCTACATGGCACAGAAGCTGCAGCAGGCAGGTCTGTGCACGAAGAGGAGACACAAAATGTAGAACCAGGGTAGGTAGGCCTTGGCACAGAGCTCTCTCAGGAAGAGCTAAAAACATCCTTGTGTTACCAACACTGTTTCCAGCATATCCACACCACAGACCTACAGTAGCTACTGTCAAGAAAATACACTCAATTCCAAGTCAAAACCAGAAGATATATATAAAAAGATTTCAAGACATAATATTTAAACCTTCTGCAAGAAATATTTGACTTTTTTGTAAAATAAGCATTTTTAGGGGCTGAGAAATACATTTCAAGATTACATTTCAAAAATTTTGATTGTTAATAGAAAAGGAACACATACATGGACTAAACTCTTGGTATCCTAGGCTGAAAGAGATGAAGCTACTTCAGCTACTATTTTCAGCTATGTTTCTTTCCAATTGCACATCTCTTCAATTATATCTATTAATCGTACATTTCATCATGTAAGCGGATATATCTCATGTCAGAATCTCTAAAACTTTCATTTGTTCTTAGCAGAGTTGGATGACATGGGGGTAAAAGTGGAAGTGCCCTACCGGAACTAGCCACCCCAAAATTCCTAGTCAAGGCTTCATCAGCTCAAACTGGTTTACTGAATAAGTATAAAGTAGTTAACTTGTGTAGTTGTCCCTCTCACTGGTTCTGCATGGAGATGCCTTGATCCAGCAAGACTTCCTCACTCAGGGGCCAATGTACAGCCTTCAGGGCTGACTGGAACATTTCTCTCTACCACCACACTACCAGGAGTAGAAGCTGGCTGCTCCTGCAGCTGATTCAGACACCCAGAGGGACCACATGAGTGTGTGTCTGACTTCCCACAAGAGGCAAGATAGGATCTGAGATTGTTTTGGGTTCTAGAGACACTAACTCCTTTATTTTCAGTTCCACTCCTCATTTTTGCAGGATATACCATTCCCCTCTCAGCCTGAGCACAGGAGTCATCTGTTCCACAGACATCACAGTATCTCACTGGAGTAAGCACAAAGGGCAGGCATGGCTTCTGTCTGTGGATAAGCTAATTTGGAATTTGGATGTTGGGTTTAAATAAGTCCAACTCTTAACTAAAAATTATTCCATTGATCATAACTGTAATGAAAAATTAATGAAGGGGAATGATTTTCAGAGCAGAGTGTGACTAATAAAACCATAATTCTTGTACTCTGTTTTACAAGGCAGACAGAAGCTCATAAGCTACCTGCTCTGGTGACAGCTGTATGCATTTTAATAGCAGTTCAATTATATTTTGCAACTTTACCACAATTACCCAAGCACTGGTGGCATGATTAGTATGTACCGTAC